ACACTATAAATGGGAAAATCATGGCAGAAGAGTTAGATAGAGAGAGAAAGAGAGAGAGAGGGGAGATAAATAATGCCTAGCTAGTTTTTAAAAAAGAGGGACTCATATTAGTCCAACAACCTATTGACAAATTATACATACATTATCTCTACATGAGTCCATGTTTATACCCAAAGGCTACATAACAAGAAACAGTGCCAGACAGGAGAAACCTTCCTTTGACTTGTTGGCCAGGGTGGTCCAAGAGACTCCCCAAATTACCTCGATGGCCTCCCAGAACTTGAACATTAAGACCGTACTGCTAAAGACAGAGCGTACTTCGGACACAGGATTTGGAGCAATAGAGCTGCAGCTGACCTGAAGGTCAGCTCCCCTGAAGGCGGCTCTCATAGCTTTGGAGAATGCTTATGAAGGTGCCAAGGGAAAATATCAATAGATAGTCCAACACCAACTTCAAGACCAAATAACCACATCAATGGCCAGCACAGCATGACATTGGTACAGTAGTGGCACTTTTATCTTGGAGGCAATCAACAGCTACCTAATTGGACTAGAAGCCCACTCAACAGGAGGAAACTCAAGTGTGGTGCTGTAAACATAACCAAATACACATGGTTGGAGAGGTCTTAGATCTTAGAGAAAACCTCAAGACTGTCACATTCCTAGACTAATTCTTACTATATGCAAAATATGTATCATTATATTTACAGACAAATATCCCAGTCACCACTCATCAAAGATGCTTTTAATAGTACTTTAATAATGAAACTGATATAACTCTCAAACCAAAACTATATAATCTATTTTAAAATATAAATTCACAATTCTCTATGCCTACTATAATTTTTGAGTATTATTTCCTGTAGCCCCAGCTGTCCTGGAACTCACTATGTAGACCAGGTTGGCCTTGAACTCACAGAGATCTGCCTGCCCCTGCCTCCCTAGTGTTGGGATTAAAGACGTGTGCCACTTGGTTCTTTTGGTCTTTTTTGAGACAGGGCCTCCCTGTAGCCCCAGTTAGCCTGGAACTCACTATGTAGACCAGGCTGGCCTCAAACTCACAGAAATCTGACTGCCTCTGCCTCCTGAGTGCTGGGACTAAAGGTATGTACCACCATGCCTGGCTCTCATGATATTTTTTTTTAAAGACAATGCTAATAAGTTTTTAATTAAGCCCAAAGTTAATGAGCTAAAAGCAAAGAAAACAATACAAAGGATCAATGAATCGAAGAGTTGGTTCAAAGAAGACATTAATAAAATGGACAAACCTTTAGCCAAATTAACCCAAAGCAAAAGACAGAGCATCTAAATAAACAAAATCAGAGAGAAGGAAGTGAAGAGTAAGAGGAAAATGTGAGCAGGACTCAGCCTCAAGATGCCCAGAGCGCCTGCTGGATTTCACCCACCTTTGGTCCCCGACAGCAGCCCTGCCAGAGCCCAGAGAGGAAAAGAACATAGACCACATCCCGATTTCACACAGGGATAAGGCTGCCCCCAACTGGGGTGACTGGAGAAGCCAAATTCACTGCCTTGCCTGACCAGCTGGCCAGATGAGAAGGTGTCAAACATCAGTGTTTGGAAATTCTGATTTCAGCAAGCACATGGTTAGATTTAGAGAACTCAATTAGAGCCCAGATAGCTCGATGCACCTATACGAGGGCCATTCTTGCCAAAGTCAAAGTCCTACCTCGTCACTTCCCATAGCCTTCCTGCTGTCAATGGGAGGTCCCACATTCTCTGCACCCAAGCTGCATCCTATCCATCCTACTTCAAAGAATAGCAAACAAGCACAGAATTACTGAACTATGTAGAGCTATTGAGAAGTTATGTCCCCCAGGCAGCCCAACTTCAAAGTCTGGCTTAAGCATACAAACTGCAAGGCCCTAGACAAAGGACTGTATTTAATTTTTTGGCGTTTTTTTTCTTTTTTTTTTGAGACAGAGTGTCCCTGTAGCCACAGCTGGCCTGGAACTTGCTATGTAAACCCAGCTGGCCTCAATTTCACAGAGATTCACCTGCCTCTGCCTCCCAAGTGCTGGGATTTAAAGGCTCACACTACCAATGCCCAGGAAATGGCTACATCTTAGTTCCCTCCTCTGTAAATGAGGTGAATCAAAGAACCATCTGCCATTGTGAGGACCAAGTAAGATCATAAGGTGGTGAGCACACTGCCTGGGAGGCATGTACTATGTACATACAGCATGCTTGTTGGCTATTTCATATTGTAACATGAATCTATTGAAGCTCATCACCACCAAGAGGTTGAGTAAGCCCAGTCACAAGTGTAAGAATCCTTTCAGCTTTCCAGGCCTGCTAGCCCAGCAGCTTCATCCTTCCAAGTGACCTCTCCTTTACCCTCCTAGCCACATCCCTCCTGAATCTGACCCACAGATGGTGTTTTCAACAAAACTTTTACAGTTGCATTGTAATTTTTATGGTTTGGAATGAATGCTAAAGTCTTTATAGTTTGTTTTCCCCTGACAATCTTCCATGTTACCTTCCTCTAAAAGGATTTCTTGTCTCACTTCTTTCCTCCCATCTCCCACAGGTTCATAGATCCCACTTTCCATGAGTAATTCATATATGACACAAGACTATCTGCCCAGATTCTTGGAAAATGTCACAAATTATCCAAGAAACGATTGAGAAAGAGGAGTACACAGCCATGTACAGAGGACTCAGAGACCCTCTGGGATCACTGTCTTTTCCTTTTCAGCCTCTAATACTATTTCTAGACTGATTGAATACTGCTTCCATGTGATAGACTGAAAGAGAAGTCAGGAGAACAACAAACAGACTCCATTCCAAACTGAAAGACTGACAGAGTGAAGCGTGACACCACAGACGCAGCGAGGCACACAGGTGAAGTGTTCAGCTGCCGTGCTTGGTGGCCCCCAGTGTGCATAGGTGGCATTTGCTGCCGTCCCCCAGTCTGGAAGCCTTTGTCTCAGTAAACCAGGAACAGCGATCATGAGACAGGAACTCTTCAAGAAGCACCTTAGTTTCTTCAATAATTTCAGGATCCCAAAGCCAGACTAGAGCCAGTTGGATGACATATTGCCAGGCACACTGTGGGTCCACATCCAGCTGTGTACTGCCAGATGTGTGTTAAAAGGATAGAAACATGGGAAAAGACATAGGAAGATCTTATTACATGGAAGTGTCAGGTTCAAAACCATCCCCGTTTCAAGAACACGGTATGTGGGACAAAATGTTGGCTTTCTGTGGTTCAAGATGGAAATCCTCAATGTTATTTTGTGGCAACAAAAGATTAAAATTTGTCTGTAAAGAAAAGGATTGGAGTTCCTCTCTTGCTTATTATTATGCGCACAGTCATGCACAAACCCTTATCCCAAACTTACCTGCCTGTGTTAAACAGTAGAATGAGGTCAGCTTGTCTCCTGGATGAATAAACACAGCATCGACTGTGAAATTCAAACAAGAGCAGATTTAATCTGAGCAGATAATCAAAGGGTCCAAAAAGAAATGACCCTGATCTAATAATTTGTTATTTGAGGAAGAAGACAGAGGGGAAGGGGGGGGCAGAGGAGGAAGAGGAGGAGGGAGAAGAGGAGGAGGGAGAGGAGGATGAGGATGAGGATGAGGATGAGGAGGAGGAGGAGGAGGAGGAGACAGAACATAAAACCACTCACATCTGACAAGAAAGGGAAAAAGACAAGAATTCAGAACAGATCTACCTCAAAGGTATGTTTTGAGAGGCTAAACACAGGACAAGGAGTCTTTTGATACTATTAAAAACATTTAAATGTGAAAATGAATATCTTTAAAGCTCTGAAAGTATTTGTGATAAAAGATTAAACTTCTTTTTGTAAATGGATACAGAATCATACTTTTATCAAAAGTACTTTATAAGGGTAAATGAGGTGTTTTTAAAGATCTATTCATTTTTATTTTACATACATGAGTGTTCTGCCTGGATGTATGTAAACGCATCACATGCATATAGTACCGACGGAGGCTGGAAGAGGGAGTTGGAGCCCCTGGAACTGGAGTTACAGGCGGTTGTCAGCAGTCATGTGGGTGCTGGGAGCTGAACCCAGTCTCTGGAGGAGCAGGAAGTGCTCTTAACCACTGAGCCATCTCTCCAGGCCCATGAATAAGTTTTTTAAAAATGAAATGGAAGCACCTCCTCCTGCATACCCAGGACATGAAACTCCTGAGGCAACTGCTCCTGAGCCTCTGTCCTGGATCAGACACCTGACTGGTCACACCAGTGATAATGGATCTGTCCCCATCCCTAGTCATCACTCAGCTGATTGTTTTCCAATTCCAAGAGACATCTCTCTCCCATTCTTGCTGGGTGTAAATCCTACCTTTCCAGCACATTAAGAATACGGGGACGGGCTAGGTGTGGTAGCACATGCTTTAATCCCAGCAGGAGGGCAGAGGCAGCAGCATCTCTGTGAAATTGAGGCCACCCTGGTCTGCATGTCAAGTTCCAGCCAGTTGGCACTACAGGGAGACCCTGTCTCAAAACACAAAACAAAACAAGCAACAACAACAGCAGCAACAGAAAAAAACTCAAAACACAAGGAAGACTGAGTGCTCAGCTCAGCTCAGCTCAGCCATAAGAGGAAACATACTTTTAGGTACAGGGAGCACAGGAGCACCCATTTTGATGCTCAGACCCAAGGCCAGGACACTGCAGAAGTTAGCCCCTGGGTGAGCTGTTATTCTCTCAAAAGAAGGGCACCCAAATAGCCTTGCTACTCAAAGTATGTTGTGAAGGAATGAACCAATAAACAGAAAACAAGGTAGAGAGAGATGAGTGGCAGGCACTGAGAGGGGGAGGGACAGCACGGTGTCAGGAACCCAGATCCCACCCCCAGCCTATGTGACTCTGGGAGGTGCTGTCTGTGAGGAAGCTCAGTTATGGGAGGAAGGGCAATAGGAACTGACACCAGAGCTGTGGGGCTCTGCAGCAGCACCAGAGCTGAACTTCTCCTCTACTTAGCAGGACAGATCAGACAGCAAAGACCATGGAGCCTCCCTCAGTCCCTCTCTGCATATGGCATGTCCCCTGGCTTGGACTCCTGCTCAGAGGTGAGACCGTTCTCTGGGAGTGGATAGGATGCGGGAAACTCAGAGATGGGCTGGGTCTTCAGTGTAGGAAAAAGCCTGAGAGGGAACATAGGGCTTCTGTTTAGAGCCCGATAGGAGAGGACTCCAGGGACACAGGCTCTGCAACAGGAAGCTCTCTGTTGTTGATATAAAACCATGGCTTTCACCTCTAAGGGGATAATCAATAGATTATTCTAGAGCCACATATGAGTGTGTATGGCCTGGGAACACAGATTTATGTTGCAAATGTGGTGACAATTTCATGGTTTTTTTTGTTTTTGGATTTTTCTTTTTTTGTCTTTTTTAAAAAATATTTTATTTTTATTTTATGTGTATGACTGTATTGCTTGCATGTATGTAAGTGCACCCATGTCGTGCAGTGCCTGTAGAGGCCAGAAGATGTTGGATCCCCTGGAACTGGAGTAATGGACAGTTGTTAAGAGCAGTCAGTGCTCTTAACAGCTGAGCCATCTCTGTAGTCCCCTTTTTGGTCTTTTTTGAGACAAGGTCTCCCTGTAGCCCAGATGGCCTGGAACACCCTATATACACCAGGCTGGCCTCGATCTCACAGAGATCTGCCTGCCTCTGCCTCTGGAATGCTAGGATTAATCCTTTAAACGCATGGTATAAAGGCATGTGCCACCAAGTCTTACTCTCATGAAATTTAAATAGTGACAGAACAAAGGTCATAAATCAAGGTATTTTTCAAATACTTCAGTGGAGGCATCAGAAAGGTGGGTTAGAGCAACATAAGGAGAATTTCCCTACAGTTCTTCGATGCTCTCTGACAGCATTCCTAGCTCTTTGATTGGTGGAAACTAGGGGCCTGTCCCAAAGGGTTTTTAAAAATCTGTTTGTCACAGGATGCTGTGTCTGACACAGAGGTTAGCGAGGCAATAGCTAGCTATTCAGGGGGCTGAAGATACCCCAAGATAAATTGCAATTAGGTTCTAAACCTGCAACATTCCAAGCTTTCCACAATCATTGAAGTTATAATCAGTTAATCAGAATTACAGACAGTTCAGTTAAAGACGCAGATTTTTGTTTGTTTTCTGGGAATGTCCATTCACATTTCCTCCTGTTGGCCAAACATCACATTTTATGTACATGGGGGCAAATTTTACTTATTAAATATTATCAGTGTCCCAAGTCATTAGGAAATGCTTCCTAGGATCTGACGTAGATGAGGCTGAGTAGTGGGCAGGAAGAGTGGTCTCGGGAGAGAAGAGCATCTGGCAAAGCCAGTAAGGAAGAAACTTCTAATCATATCAAAACTATTAACCATCATGATCCAGATCTGACTTTCCCCTCTCTGTATCTGATATAACATTTAGATATAACATGTAATAAGATTATTATACTTTAAATCAATCAGGAATACTGGTTGACCTAGTGGAGTAAAGCTAACAGATGAAGTAAATACACATTTTAAGCTACCAAAATTTACATATTAAAGCCCCTAGCTTGACCATATGTTTTCTTCTTTATTTACAGTTATTTGTACAGTGTGAACTATCTTATTTATATTTGAAATACTGAGACAAGTCCATTACCTTTTAATTTTGGTCTTTCTTTTGCCCAACTTGATCTTATAGCTATAACCTCATGCAGACTGACTACCTCTAATTTTAAGGAAAAATTGGTAATCTCTAAATTATTATTAACTCATATCTCCGGATACTGACTTGATCTGTTTTATTACAGTGGTATTATACCATGTTTGGTTTGTAAAAGTAAATGGAAAGCCATGTTATAGAAGAAATTACATAACCATGTAGCATTTCTTTAAACTTCCTTTTAGCAAGAGTGTCTTGGTTTGTGCATCAAATATCATTATCAGAAATAGAAAGAAAAGATCAGGCCTATCATGTTAGAAAGCAGAATTTTATAGGTCCTCTAGGCATGACCAAATCTTAATTTTAATGGTTAAAAGTGGAAATTGAAATCTAGAAGGCATTGCAGCAGTATTGTCATTTATTAATAAATTATAAATATTGTCTGATTAATCTTTTAATCCCAGGTAACAGTGCTACACATGACACCTTAAGACTCATTTAATCAAGAAACACATGAGGTATAAAACATCACAGATGTTATTGTTATTAGATTTGTGTCTTCTGTATAATTTGGATAAGAAGAATTATCTCAAATTTTTGAGCATGTCTAACTAGAGTAAATGGAGTTAAAGTTTCTAACATGGAAATATGCCTTTATTTTAGTTGTAAGAATTTGGAAAAACTGGCAGGGTGTGTTATTTTCTAAATTTAAAACTTAGATTTTTAAAATCCACATTATGCAGAATAATGAGGAAAAAATTCACAGAGCACTTGGATCTTTTAAACATGGAAACTAGGTTTGAGTAAGGTAGGGGCTCTGGATAAGCAAAATGATAAGGAAAAACCATGATTAAAAAAACTAAATAAAATCCTCACTTATAACTTCATTAAGACCAAGATCAACATTATTTTATCATTTAGGAATATACCAAGTGAGACATTAAATGCCAGAAATAGTTTTAAAATATCAAATCATAAAGAGTTTAAAAAACATGAAAAGTGAGAGAAATGTTCAATTGCTTGGCGTACTCAGTTGGCCAGGTGAGGGAACACTGGTATCAGCCACCATTTTTGAAGTCCACATGGATGTGTTTTCAGATGAAGTTGGCACATGTTTTACATGTGAATCTAAAAGTTGATCTTCTTTGGGTTTACAGCATGGGTGTGGGTTACAAGTATGTGAATATAGTCTTTTTCCTTTGGTCAGAATGGAGTCTTTGATGTGATATCTTTTGTTTTGCTTTCAATTGATGAGACCATATATCAATTTTGTTTTGTTTTGTTTTTTAATTTTTTTATGTGTATGAGTGTATTGCCTGCATGTATGTGAGTGCACTCGTGTCATGCAATGCCACAGAGGTCAGAAGAGGGCTTCAGATCCCCTGAACTGGAGTTAAGGATGGTTTGTAGCTGCCATGTGGGTGCTGGGAATCGAACCCAGGTCTTCTGCAAGAGCAGTCAGTGCTCTTAACTGCTGAGCCATCTGTCCAACCCCAAGGAAGACTCTGAAACTAATTCTGAAATTTTTAGTTATGATATTTGAAAGTCCTTGTTTTTCTAAGAAGATTTCTATAAACATTATTAAGAATAGATCAATAGTTAAGAAAACCTTATTGTTATAAACAGAGAATCAAGCATTAATCTTACCTCAAGGTATTGAAATTTGACCTTAATTTTTGTTTGCTTTCCAGGCATTTGGTTTTGTTTTTTTTTTTTGAGACAGGATCTCCCTATAGCCCCAGCTGGCCTGGAACTTGTTATGTAGACCACATTGGCCTCAAACTCACAAAGATCTGCCTGCCTCACAAAAATCCCTCCCAAATGCTGGGATTAAAGGCGTGTACCACCATGCCTAGCTTGACCTTAATTTTTTTTTAAAGATTTTATTTTTAGTCATACGTATATTTTGTATAATTTTTATTGAATTTTTGTGTATTTCATACAAAGTATCTTAACCATCTTTATATCCACCCGCCCCCATCCGCAACCACCCATAGGCCCCTCTCACTGGATTTCATGCATGCTGTCATTTGTGTTAAGACCTATCCAGTCAAGTTAGTGTACCCAGTTGTCCCTCAATGCAAGTTCATCCACTGGGAACTAGTCAGCCTATCTAGAGTTACTCCCTTAAAGAATATCAACTCTCCCTCACCCAGCAGTAATCAGCTGCCGAAAGTTCTTTGGCTAAGATTGGGGCCTGCTATCCATTTCCACAGTTCTGTGCTGGGTTTTCATCTGCTTGAGTTTGCATGGGTCTTGTGCACACTAACACTATTGCTGTAGGTTCATATGAGCAAGGTCCCAGGAGCCTGTAAAACTCTGTTTCCATATGGTCATGCACCTCCTCCTCTGGCTCTTACCATGTGTCTACCCCCTCTTCCACAATGGTCCCTGAGCCCTGGGTGGTGAGGTTTAATATAAGAGTCCTGTCCAGGGACCCACCCTCTGCAGACTCTCATTCTCTATGCTTTGACCACCGTGTATATGTATGTATGTGGTGTGTGTGTGATCCTGTCTTTGTGCACATGAGTACTGGAACCCACAGAGGCCAGAGATGTTAAATTCCTTAGAGCAGGAATTATAGGTTGTTGTTAGTCACTTGATGTGGTACTAGAATCAAACTAAGGTCCTCTGGAAGAAGAATGTATGATCTTAACCGTAATGAGCCATCTTTCCAGCCTGACCTTAACATTTTGTTGTTGTTGATGTGTTGCTTGTTGTTGTTCTTGGCTTTTTTTTTTTTTGTATGAGACAGAGTCTCACTGTGGATCCCTGCCTAGCCTGGAGCTCACTTTGTAGACCAGGCTGGTCTAGAGCTCACCTGCCTCTCCCTCTAAAGTGCTGATATTAAAGATATGCACCACCACGACCAGCCCTTTGTATTAGGAGCAATGTAGTTATGGCCATGTCTGCTTGCTGTAATCTTGCTGCAGTGTGCTTTAATCTTCCAACATTATCCTCCCACTTCCACTCTGGGGTAATTTTTATCTTATCATACAAAGTCTTTGTCATCCAAAAGCATTTCTAAATCTTCTTTTACCAAAAATATATCTCATACCTATAACTTCTTATCTCTTTTTTAACCTGATAGCTTAATTTTTATCATTATTGTTGTTAAACATTTTTAATAAGTATAAATGAAAACCCAGAAGGCTGTATCTAAAAACATAGAAAACATGCATATGGTATCTTAATTTTTTAAATTATTGAACAGTTGTAAATATAGGTAAACCACATTAATAGTCTTGTAAGTTTTTTAATATTTTATTTATTTTATTATTTTTATTTTATGTGTATGTGTGTATTGCCAGCATGCGGGTAAGTGTGCCTGTGTTGTGCAATGCTTGTGGAGGACAGAAGAGGCTGTTGGATCCCCTGGAACTGGAGTTACAGACAGTTGTTAGCTGCCATGTGGGTGCTGGGATTCGAACAGAAGAACTGTTCTTCTGCAAGAAGAGTCAGTGTTCTTAACTGCTGAGCCATCTCTCCAGCCCCTAGTCTTGTTTTCTTAAATCACAATACAAAGTATTTGTTAAAGATTTAATTCATTATAACAGGTACTTTGAAATTGTTTTCATTTTTACTTATATTAGGGTTCATGAGGCATACAAAGCAGGATAAATTTTTACATTTTTATACGTTCCTACCTTTTAAAAATAGTTTTGATTTATTTTTATTTTATATATATATGAGTGTTTTGCCTGCATGCATGCAAGTGCACCTGTGCGTTTAATGCCCTTAGAGGCCAGAAGAGGGCATTGGATCAACTGGAACTGGAGTTAAGGTTGTTAGCTGCCATGTGGGTGCTGGGAACCAAATCCAGATCCTTTATAAAAGCATCCAGTGCTCTCAACTGCTGAGCCATCTCTCCAATCCCTTTTATACATTCTGAGCCACCTGATTACCTTTGTAGATGTTAATCATTTAAAAGGTTTTACTTAGACTATGTTTTCCTTTCTTTAAAACTGAAAGCACAGAGATGAGTCACTGTATAATTTTCTATAGCTTGTCTTTTTTTAAGAAAGGTTTTTTTTTTTCAACTTAAACTTAAAAACTTATGTTCATTCTCTCAAAGAAAGATCTGGGAACATTAGCCACCTCTACTTGCTTCATTATTTGCCATTATTTTTTGTCTCATTAATTAGCATACTGTGGTCAAGTTTATTTAGTCAAGTTTATTTACCATCTGTTGAAATGGTTAGAGTTGGGAATTTTTTCCTTAATATTTTTAAACAGGAAGCTCTGCCAATTTAACAACTCCAGTTTATATGAGTGCTTACTCATAAATGTGTTACTAAGTAAATTATATTAAAAAATAAGCACATGTGGACTGTGTATACACACATAACCGTGCATAAAGTAGATTTACAACCAATATTTTCAATGCAACTGCTTGTTGGAATTATAACTCCTGTAATCTTTGATGTGAAAAGGAAATTTAACACAAAGATGTTTAGCAAACATTATTTTACATGTAGCTAAGCCTTGATAAAAACCTTGGAACACAGATTTAGCTCACCCAAAAATACGTATTCCAACATGGTAACAATCTCATGAAGTTCTAGTAGTAGCAGAACGGGCAAAGCCCTGAACCAAGGCACTTTTCAAATGCACTGAGGGAGGCACCAGACAGGGGAGTTACAGCGAACTGGGGACAGCTTAGTTTTGGGCCTTGGATGCTGCCTGGCAGCATTCTTAGACCTTTCCATGGTGGAAACTGGGGTCTGTTCTACAGGATATTTTTTTTACCTGTTTGTCAAAGGATGCTAGGTCTGATAGAGACGTGGGCAAGAAAGTAACTATTTAGGGGGCTGAAGAGAGCCCAAGCTAAATTGTGAATAGCCTTTGGACTTGCAACATTCCAAACGCTCCACAGTCATTGAAGATATAATTAGTGACACCTTCAGTTCTTCAGCTTCAGGGTTTTACTTGGGATCTTAAAGCGCTAGTGTTCCCTACGGCAAGCTAATCAGTTCTGGCCACTATATCCTGAAGACTGACTCTCCGATAAAAATCAAAATAGATCATTAAACATTAAACCTGAGAGTTTCTTAAATAGCCCCCTAGATATGTGGAGCCCTGGGACACTCATTCATGCATTACAGGTACCCAAGCCTGTTCCAGGCAGCAGGATTTTAACAAAGTTTGGACTACACCCTCTCCTCACAAAGCTTTAGTTCTAGTGGGCAAAGTAGCCCTTTAGTAAAATGGCTAAAGGTGTGTGTGGGAGGGCAAGGTTGACAAGATCCTCAGAAGGAAGAGAGATGCGACAGGTCAGAATGTGAAGATGTGGGGTCTCTAGAGGAGACAGTAAAGGAAAGCCTCCCCCCATATCCTTACACACAGAAAGCATTCTGAATGTCAGTGGGGATGTTAGGGCAGTACAAGCCAAGAAGTGAGCAGCGTAGACACCTGAGAAGAACGTTCCATATAGAGATATGGACAAGTTGAGGGTTGTAATGATGCTGACTTTCACCATGTAAGAGATAGGCATAGACACACAGACACACAGACACACAGACACAGACAGACAGACAGACAGACAGACACATACACACACACTCATACCCCAAGACTGAGGGATGAATAGACCCACTCAGATACCAAGTTTATGCTAAATACAGGTATTTGACAGGTCCCAGTATTGACAGTTTTCTCTTTCTTCCCTCCTAGCCTCACTTTTAACTTTCTGGAACGTTCCTCCCACTGTTCAACTCACTATTGACTCAGTGCCACCTCATATTGCTGAAGGGAAGAACATTCTTCTACTTGCCCGTAATATGTCAAAGAATTCTCTAGGCTTTCGCTGGTGCAAGAGTGAAAGTGTGATCAACAACCATGAAATTGTACTATATGAAATGCGCAGTCGTACATGGCACATAGGACCCGGCTTCGTTGGAAAAAAGACAGTATTCTATAATGGATCCCTGTTGCTCCTGAACATGACCCAGAAGGACACAGGAGTCTATGTGATACAGACTGTAGCTGAAGACTTTACTTTTGAAGAGGCATCTGTGCAGATTCATGTACACCGTAAGTCATTCCCTATGATGTGTGGGCACTGGGTCCGGTTAATCCCTCTTCACACACAGAGGGTTGCAAGGCCTGGACTATGCCTACCTCCCTCTATATTGGGTCCCCATATTGAAGTTTGAGCATGAACTGCTGGACATACACACTGCAGTCAAACTGCAATAGATCCTTATATGAATACACCCTGTATCAAGGAGGACATGAGCTGGGGTAACTCAAACAGCGGGATCAGCCTCAGACCATACTCTTGGGACACTCCCCATGAACATGAATCTGAGAAAGAGCCTTTGAGATTCAGGCAGAATCTGGCTGAGGAAACCATGGCTTTTCATAGCGAGTACCAGAAAGCCCTGGATCTAGATCCCTGTTGCAGACTCTCTCTGGGTGACACTGAGGGAGCTTGGAGTCAGGGTTGGATTTGACCTCCTGTTAGAGATGTCAGAGAACAATGATTTATTAGCTGTCTGAGTCTTGTAGCCTGTGGAATCAGCCAGTACAGTGTCATGAGAGTCACATCTAGTCTAGATCACTCAGGCATCTCCTTCTCTTGAATCTCACCATGGAGAACCCAAGTGGACAGGTGCCTGGGCCATTAGCAAGTTCTCTGAGAGGTTTATGAGGCTCCACAGGGAGGGAAGTGTCCCCAAGGGGAGGAGTAGACGTTGGGGGTACACCAGGCCTCTCTGTGTTTTTAGGCAGACATCCCAGGGAATTCTCTCTTGTAGGCAAATAGTAATAGATGCTGAGTTGGGCCGATCCTATGCCTAAAAGCAGGTCCCTGTTAGTATTTAAAGTTAACTTATAGACATGGAAATTGTCATTTACCGTATATCCAATTATAGGGAAATGGAGACACAGGAAATCCAGTGGCTGAATCAGATTCACAGAGACCATGGGTGGCAGATCCAGACCACAAGATGTCTGTCTATAGCTACAACCCTAAACTCTCGACCACTGAGGTTTTATTAGGTGTCCATGGACTAGAGAAAAGTTACAGGTTAAGATACTTTAATTTTTAAGCGTTGGCAGCTCAGACAGAGGTCTCTGATTCTGGAAATGAAAGCAAATGGACAAATGGTTTTTATGTTAGAACGAAACTGCCTACCTGCCTCAGCAGAATTCCAAACTTTTCCAAACCATGCCATCTCTCTCTGGACTTGAAATCATGTTTCCTGGTATGCTGGTGTCATTCCTACTGGAGGATAAATAGGAGAGAACTTTGCTTCCGCCCACTAGAGTCTGCCACCAGCAAAGGGAACGGTGGGTCAACTTCTAATACTTCTGTGATGAAGGAAGAAAGAACTGAGTAATAGGACAGGTGGATCACTGATCTTGTTGGATAAGTTGGAAACACCATGTAGAGTCCTAGGAGGTCTAGCCTCATCTATTCCCTATCCTTCCTGGAAGTTGGACCTTTTGTTCAATCCTTCTATCACATTCTCATAAGTTACCTGAGGAACCTGGAGCTGCTGAAATATGGGCGTGTTCTCAGGCTGACAACGATTTAGTTCTGAGGCCACCATTTGTGTCCAAGTCCCTGGGGTCTTGAAGTTGCTTTAACCCCCGTTGTTACTGTGGTGGACAGTTCTGGCTTTTTCTGGTTCTTCTCTGCCCTTCATCTCCTGCATCACTCTCTTTCCAAGTAGCTCTATAATGCCTTGGTGAGCTTGCTGCTCCCTTTCTTTTATGACATGAATCTTTCTGCCTGTCGTGTTCTTTTCTCATAAACAACTGGTGTCAGACGCTTCCAAATAAGCATTAGCAGAGGGCACAGAAACAGCAGAAACAGCCACTCCTCTGAGGCTCTGTCATATGTCAAAGTTCCTCTCAGTGAAGGAGCTCCAAGTGTTCCTTGTCTAGGGCTCTTTACTTCTTCAGTGCAGACTTGCAGAATAAGCCAAGAGACAGGGAGAAGCATTTCCTCCTACTCTCTAGGCTGAGTGCCCAGGAGGTAAAGGCAGAAGGACAGGGCTGCCAGCCCCAAAGCCCTGCCTCCCTCCTCCATTTCACTTGTGACTCCATCTCCTTCCTGCCTGGACTCCCCCTCCTCAGTGGTTCCATGGACCTTACCTAAGGGGAAGAAGACCAAACCAGGGCTGTCTGATGGGCTAACAGTTACAAACACCCGTGTCTCCAATTGTCACAAGGCAGGTCCTGTCACACAATGACATGCCCTAGTCATGATCAAATCATGTCCACTGCCCAATATGACAATTTGAGAGGATTTGATAAAATTCACTTTTTTTCTGGGGTCCGAAGAAATGGAGGACAGCATCCCATAGGCCTGTCAGGGCTCTGTCCCACTTTGCCTGACTTCTTAGACTTCTAAATGTGCTCGCATGACAGCACCCTGGATACATAAGACTACTACAGATTTGGGATTCTTCCCCCCCATTCTTTTTTGTTTTAGTCAGCATATCACTATGTAGCTCCACCCAGTCTAGAACTCTCTATGTAGACCAGGCTGGTTGTCAACTCACAGAGAGCCTCCTGCCTCTGCCTCCTGAGTGCTGGGATTAAAGGCCTGGCAAACACACCAAGCTCCTCTTACGCAGTAGAGTAACTTCACACTGAAGTAACCAGTTCTGCCTTCAGAAACATTCACAGGTCTCTGCTCTGGAGACACTTGCTTGATACCAACTTTGGCATCTGCCTTTGACCATAATATGACCCTGTGGCACTTAGATCTTGGTCTAAGACCTTATCATGCCTTCTAGGGAAATATTCCTTTTAGGAACTAGTCTTAGATCCTGAGTTTTATTAACAATTTTCCCATTTGGAAGAAAGTATCACAAATTCTTATCCCAGATCTGTCGAACGTACTTGCCTATTGGGCCAGACTTCCAGTCGAGTTCCTGCTCCCTACCTTCTCTCAGGTGGATCTGCATTTGAAAACATCTGCCTACATCCCAGATCAGTATATGGTCCTCAAAAGCACCACAAAGGGCAACCTTCTCTCTGCTCTCTGCATAGCACTGTTACCACAAGCAACAACTCCAAATCCCTGGAAGGTGAGGACTCTGTAGCCTTAAAATATGAACCCAAGATTCAGAACATAACCTTCCTGTGGTGGGTAAATGGACAGAGCCTCTCAGATGATGGCAGCTTGGGGCTGTCCAAGAGCAACAGGACTCTCACTTTACTCAGTGTCATGAGAATGATACAGTAGGACTGGAATCCAGTGAGTGCCAGCCTAAGTGACCCAGTCACTCTGAATGTTGTCTGTGAGTAACTTCTACTTCTTCATGGCTGCAATGCCTAATACACAAGACTAGAACCAGGCCACTCAGTCCCTCTTGGGCTCATGACACAGACCCACCAACATGGACACCTAGGCTAACCATTGTATCTTGTCTTAGCTTAAGCACAGCCTTCCAGGCCCAGGTGGAGCTAATACCAGGGTGGAGGGAGTTTGTCTGTCTGGAGAGGCTCAGCCTTATCATCCCTGATGGAGAAACAGGGGACAGCTCAGGACTCAAGCTCGGTAAAAACATAAGCATGGAATTGGGGCATTTTAGTGTCTGTGTGTTATGCAAGTTATGCAATCTAGGGTCATGTACATGCTAGGCAAGTACTCTTCAAGTGAGCTATATCTCAAGTCCTGGCTGGAACCTATGTAACTGAGGTTGTGGCACAATTCAGAGGGATACCATGGCCTTTACAGAGCAGGAGCTTCCTCTTCTCTCTGGTAACATCATATGTGGCTTTGTTCTGTTTGCTTCAGTTAGCCCAAATGTCCCCATTGCATCCCACTGAAAATCATATTTCCACCCAGGGACAAACTTCAGCCTCTGCTGCCACACATATTCCAACCCACCTGCCTTATTCCCGGGAAGCTCCGGCCGTCCTCGAGTTCTTTATCCCTGACATCACTGCCAATAATAGCACATCCTATATCTGCCTCATCTTTAACTCCTCCACTGGCCACTGAGCACCTCAGCCAAGAAAATTAAAGTCCTTGGTTAATGAATCCCTGAAATATAAGCATCAAGCTTTGTGGTGGAGTCTTTCAGTTTTCTGAAAAGATGCGGAAGTTAATTCCCAGCCTGTGGTCATGGGTAACGTCGTGGGTTCAATCTTCCTCTCAGCTTCCTGCCCCATTCCTGAGTCTCCTCTTTCTTTCTTGCATTTCTGGTTTCTCCTGACTGACCAGAGATGGGCCTGGAATGTGAGGAGGGTTTTCTCAGCCCTGAAAAGCCTCAGGTAGTGGGAGGGACTTTCTAGGGAGATGGAGGTGGCCCTCAAGGTCAAATAGATTTCTGTCATTAACTAATGCCTTCCCATCTATGGAACAACTAGGGCTCTGAAACACGCTCACATCCCTTTTTCTCCAAATGAGAAGAGAAAATTCCACAGATGGGGACAAGCAACTCAGAGCTCTGCTCCCAGCTCTGCTCCTGTCTCTCTGGGTATCCGGCTCTGCTCCGACTCCATTGGGGTCTGTAGCATAGGGTAGAGAACATGTCCAGGAGGCCTTTCCAGAATCGGGATTGAAAAATGTTACTACTTATCTGATGTAGCTATTATGTTTAGTCCTTAGAGGTTTTTTGTTTGTTTGTTTGTTTGTCTGTTTGTTTGTTTGTTGTTTGTTTGTTTGGTGGACATCAGAGCATTGCTGGGGTCAGGAGTAGGGAAGTGAGAAACGTGAATCTCAGGGGAGATGTCTGTGAATTAAGACCTGACACTGCAGACCCAGCGGTGTGAGGCTGCGGACAGCTGCACTAGTGATGGCCACAGAGAACAGAGAGGGACGGTCACTTGGAGAACAAGGAGCTTAACTGCGGAGCCTCTGTGTGGAGCAGAGAAGAAAGGAAGTACCAAAAGATATCTGCAGTGAGGACTAGAGCACCGGCTACTGCTAACACTATGACCATTCAGCTCTTCAAATTCTGTTAATGAGATATTTAATCCATGGGCTTGGAAATACAGTTCCTCTGCAGATAGAAATTCTTTGGTTTGGGATTTCTCCCAATCCCAAAATCTAGGCTTTAATAAGTTAAGGTGGCTGGGCCATCATGATTCCATGACAAATTATTTAATGACAAAGAAGCAGAAAGATACTTTATAATGGAGGGGCCTGATCATACTCACAAAAAATACTAGAAAGAGTTTGCACAAAAGTCAATGGGAAAAATACTGCAGCCGGTGAGGTTCCTGCTACAAAGGCTGAGGAGAGGTTCTGCTGTGGAATCTACAAAGATGTCCTGGGTCAGGGTCATTCTGGGTCAGAGTAAGATGCAGCTCTTCCCTTATGGATTGTATCCTGAACCAGACATGTGACCTTGCAGAGGCTCTGGGCCACCTGACACCTTACACTGTGGGTCCTGAGAGCTGCCTGAGATCTCTGAGGAAGAGCTACTCTCAGTTGGTTCCCTCCTTTGTTTGACATAGGGCCAGTGACACAGCCCTCCATCGAAGCCACCAACACCACCGTCAAAGAAAAGGGCTCTGTGGTCTTCACTTGTCACTCCAGTGACCCTGGAGTCTCCACCCAGTGGATCTTCAACAAGCAGAATCTGCAGTTTACAGAGAGGATGACGCTGTCTCAGAACAACAGCAGGCTCAGCATAAACCCTGTCAAGATGGAGGATGCCGGGGACTATCAGTGTGACGTCTCCAACCCAGTCAGTTCCAAGAAAAGTCACCCAGTGCCCCTGGCAGTGAACAGTGAGTACCTTTCCTCTTTTCCAAATGTAGAGTGGGGGATTTCTTTATCAATGATGTGTAAAATAGATAAAAATTACAAGAGAAAAATATCAGTTTAGTCACAAATATGGCCAACATGTTGATGAGCACATGTAATGCGAGAATAAAACATGGGGCAAAGGGAACAGCTGTAAAGGTCAGCCCTGTGTTACATAGTGAAACTGTCACAAAAACAAGACATCAATACAGTGAACAGAAATGTGAAGCGGTTAAGCACTTAGGCTCCAAATCAGCCTTCAAAATCCACAGAGACTTGGTTCCAAGATCCCCACAGATACCCAAATCTGTGGACACTCTGGGCATCCTATTAAAAATGGCACATTATTTGCATATAGCTGTGCATACCCTACCATTCTCTTAAATCACCTTTACATTATTTCCAATAGGCAACACAAATGCTGCATAGGGGTGGGTTCCAACCTCCATCCGTGTAGCGGCTCAGGTCTCAGCAGATGGCCAGAGAGTGCAGAGTTCTGGCTTCCCTCTGGCCTCCTTCTGGCAGAGGGGCTGAGAATGCAGGGGACTGCCTGAGAGCCCCCATCCTGCCTCCATGTGGTGGTGAGCTTCCCCTGATTGAGCCATACCCATCCCCCTACCAGGGATTTCATGAGCTCCGTGATCCCCAAGGCCCCAGGGCAGATCTGGCTTTGGTGGGCTAAGGCTGAAATCCTAGCAGACAGCCTGAAAGGGTGGATTGTCTGAGAGTGCCCAGATCCTGTCTCCACGTGGTGAGGGAAGCCTGAGTGTACCTGACTGGAACCAGAACCTGAACCCTCTATCAACCATCTTTACATAACCAATAAAGAAAGGATCTAGGCACACAGATAATATAAACAGAAGCATACTTCAACTTAATTCTCATACCAGAATCATAAACAACAAAAGAAATTCACATGCCAAAATCACAACAAAAGAATAATAAAATGGAAAGCCAAAACAATATGTCCCCACCAAACTCCACCAATCCTGTAGAAGAGTTCAACAA